CAATATCAAGTTCTGTAACTCAAAATGATCTTGAGAATTATAGCCATCTGCCCCTAGGCTACAATAACAGCTTTCCATCAAATTAGGCCATAAGCATTTTTGTTGCCTCAGTATAAAAACTGGGTTTATTCCTACCTTTCTTATATCGACCAGCAGTTTTATATCCAGGGTCTGAATACCAGATGTTATGACAGAATATTCAATGAAATTTCTGAGTTTATTTGTATAGCTTCCAGTTTTTATTTGAAATAACACTGAATTCTGTGTAATGTCACGACTATCTTTAATATTAAAAACTTTGATATGAAATGGTGAACAAACAGAATTTATGTTTACTTTTATGTTATTAAAACTGTCTGACTGCCTTTCAGCTTTGATTTTACATGAACTTAATATTTTTTTTAGGAAAATAAGCAGCGACGAATTTATTGTAAATTTTTATATTTTGCGAGAATTTCATTACAACGAGGAACGGAATAGCTACCCTTTCGATACTTTTGATTTCTAAACCCAAAAATGTCATGATAATTTTACTTGACCCAAAAATCAAAACCAGAACTCAAATATATCCATGTCTCGATCAACAAGACGATTATAACAATCGAAGTCTTATTGCCGCCCAACGTGGGACCACTTCATGAATGAAACCAAACGCTATTTTGAACGAAGTTTTTCCTATCCTAACATTATTGTCTGAATTTAGATCTGGCTGTATACAATTTAGAGAGATAATAAATAAATTTATTATTATTATTATTATTTCCATATATTTATTTTAAATTCTCTATAAAATACATTTTTAAATACTACTTACAAAAACATAAAAATAATATTTAAAAATATAAAAAATAGGAGCCGACCAGTAGCAGGAGCATGGTCCAAGCTACCGGTGGTTAGGGCTCCAGAGACAGAAACCTCCTCACGATACGTGCCGTTTCAAGGAGAACTGCCTTCTGTATCAGGCCCTTGACCCAACTGCCTAACGCTAGCCTCCTAAGGTGGTTGTCGAGGCTATTAGGGATTAACCCATTGGCCGACACGACTATCGGCACAATGATAGCCGAATCTACATTCCACATGTCGACAACCTCGTGAGCCAAATCAAGATATTTGATTTGTTTATCTTTTTCAGCTTTCACGAGGTTCTCATCATGAGGAATAGTGATATCGATTATCATCGTGCGGCGCACTTGTCGGTCTATCACCACTATATCAGGTTTGTTGGCTATAATAGTCCTGTCAGTGATGATAGACCGGTCCCAGTACAACGTGATATGGTCATTTTCCAGAACTGGGTCGGGCACATACTTGTAGTACGGTACCTCAGATTCAACAAGTCGATAGTGCAAAGCAAGTTGCTGATGGATAATCTTGGCTACTTGATTATGCCTATGCAAATATTCACTGTTAGCCAAACGACCACAACCAGAAATAATATGTCTAATGGATTCACCAGGACTATGACATGCCCGACATATGTCAACCGTCCCATCCTTAATTATATATTTCCGGTAGTTATTCGTAAGGATAACTTCGTCCATAATTGCACAGACAAATCCTTCAGTTTCTCCAAAGAGATTACTGAATCGTAGCCAAGACACGGACGCTAGAAAATCTACACTGGGCCCATGAAGGGCCCGGAAGAAGCGTCCGTGGAGCTCCTTGCTATGCCATACCGCCTTGCGATCATTGACGCTCAGTACCACAGGTTTGCGCCAGTTCTCTTTTGCCAAGGATAGCGGAGTGAATCCATTGTCCACCGCTGCTACTTCTCGATGCATACCCTCGTTGACTTTCAGGAAATATTCCCTGAGGCTGCACACCTCACGGTTGTGAAGGGTCTTAGCATTTAATAAGCCTCGACCACCACACTTCCGCGGGATGTACAACCTCATGACCGACGAACGAGGGTGATGCATGCGATTTGCAGTCAGCAGGGTCCGGACTCGTCTATCCAGGGTGTCAAGTTCAGTCTGTGTCCACTTGAGTATACCAAAAGAATACATTAGGACTGGCATGACCCAACCGTTAAAGGCTCGCACCTTGTTTCCGCCTGATAAGGAACTTTTCAGTACCTTATTCAGGCGACCAAAGAAGCGCTCCTGCAACGATTGTTTCATGTCCGGTCCATTAATGCCTAATCCTTCTGACATACCCAGGTACTTATATGTATCATTTGCGGAGAGTGATCTCAGCTTTGTGAAATCTGAGAGTTCTAGACCCTCAGATTCCACAATCCCTCCTCGCTTTACATGCATGACCGCACACTTGTCTACTCCAAACTCCATTCTATTATTATTATTATTATTATTATTATAATTTGATAGTCGACTAGTCACGTCTTCTTCGCCTTATTGGTCACGTTCCCTTTGGACAGTCTAGTAGGATTATGTTAGGACCTTGTCGGACATTCGAGAGCTGTTTACAATAACATTCGGTCTAGAAATAATTCCAAAGTTATTTGAGTACTGTTGGATCCCCGAAGGGTTAGGCAGAGGTGCACATTTCGGCACTTAATGCCACTGTACAAAATAACACCCACTTTTCACTATTTATGTTATGAGTCCCATGTAATAGAGGGCGAGCCTATTACCATATACCGGGCACATTTCCACACTCCGTGCTACTACTGACATTTTTAAAAACCCAATAATACTTTGCCCGGCTCGGGAATCGAACCCGAGACCCCTTGACTGCAGTCGCACTTGCGACCACTTGGCCAACGAGGCAGTTATATTATTAGTTGCAAATTAATGACTACTAAAATAGTTCTTGTTTCCTGATTATAAGGCTGACGTTAATTAAAGTCGTAATTACGTAGAATTCGTCAATAAAATATCCAAAAACGTTTTCCATTCGAAATGATAATTTCCGCCTTCAGAAATTCCTTTTCAATTACAATATTATCTATAACAAATTCGACATAATACGCAGGACCTCACATAAATCGACACCTACACAAATGTTTATCTTCAATTCACTGACCCTTATTGGTAGTTAGGTCGGTATAAATATGTCACAATTTCGATTAATAGTTATTCTTTATTTTCGAAAAAGGTCTTCGTTGTTGTTCGTTTTATTGAATCAACATTTTTCTATTTGAAACGGAGGTGGATCTTACAGCCCGATCTCTTTGTAATACTCACTCATTTAATTTCTTTTGCGAGAAGAGATGAACTCTAGGTTTTGTTACTACTGATATTTATGT